ACTATTTTTATTTCTTGGTCCTCTAATCTTTGCCCTCACAAAAAATGATGCTACACCACTGTACCAGATAACCAATCAAAAGAAATCACCAGATGCAGCACAAGAAGTTTGGAAATGTTGAAAGTTAACAGTATGTGACTCATTATACATTGTTGACTCTCAAGTGAAATTTATTTTTGTGATTTAACATTCATCATACTACACGTAACTACTTGCAGTGTAAATTAAATATTGCATAACTGGAAAGGCTTTACACTACAGAACCAAGAATCTTCATAGCAGAAAACTACATAAAAAAAGAAAACTGACCAAAAATTAAGATAGCAATTTATGTGGAAATATTCTAAATTATTTGTGCCTACAAAACAGGGCTGTGGAGTCAGAAAAAATGTGTTGACTCCAACTCCCACATTTTAAATTTACTTTAGTTTTTTTTATTTAAATGAAAGAAAATTTATTACATATTTATTAATTTTTTAAAATGTTTTTGTATTTTGTTATAATTCATTTATTTTNATTATAAATTTTATAATAAGATTGTTATTGAAAAAAAACAATACAATGGCAAACAAAACTTTAAAAGACAAGCAACAAGTAAACCTAAACAATGAACTTTATTAGAATTATTTGTTTAATCGTGTTCATGTTTTAAAAAAGTAAAACAATAGGTTTATACAATGAAAGAATAATGTTGAGATATTTCAAAAAGTAGGAAACCAGCTAATTTGAGTTGACAAAACTTTAAAGACAACTGAAAAAGTAATTGCAAATACTAGATCTAAAATCTTGTGGGCCTTCTACATTTTGAATAATCTCAAAAATGAAGTCTGGCTTAAGCGTGTCAGTTGTATAACATGCCATGCTTTCTCGATTGCAACTTTTAAGTATTTTACTGAACTGTATTGTTTGCTGTCAGCATGTTCAGTTCTTTGCGAGCACACCCAGGATATTCTCGATCGGGTTTTTGCTGAAATTGATTTTTTTTATAGTGTGAGACGAACAGACAGACGAAAATTTGCATTAAATAAATCTTTCTTCTGCTAATTTTTATATATTTGGAAGTAGCATATTTTCAATTGGCTCCTGATGCTGTTTTGAATCTGTTTGTCTGTTTACAAATGCAATAGTTAACTTTCTCTTGCAAGAAATTATACCATAATGGTACTACTACTACCCATCTGTTTTTGAGATAAAATTCTCTCTCGCTCTCTCAGCACAAATTATGAAAATAATAGTTCACACCATCCAAATGGTCCAAGTTGGACTTTATGTCTGGAAAAAAATCACTGTTGCCATTCCATATACCAGGACATGTGATTTTGTGCATTAGTCAATCTTCCAGTTTTGTTTTTTAGTTAAGGGAGGTTTTCAACTTTCGAGTTATCATGATTTTATCACTTCTTGAATGGTACAAGAATGACTAATTTGTTTGCAATTTTCAATGCCAATGTCACAACATTGCTTGCAACCCTCAAAATTTTCTTATCTCTTGCATTCAACTAACAAATTACTCAAAACTAAGAAATTGATATCTTTATTTATCTATCTATCAATTAACAACATTCAAAAGAAATGCTGCTAATTGTTGCCATTTTTGAATTCAAATTAATTACAGTACAGCCTCGATTATCCGACCCCCGATTAACCGACACCTCGGTTAACTGACCATGCAAGTCGGCAAATTTCAAATGTCCGCTAGTGATGTGGCGCTACAATATTTGGCTATGTCTTGGCTACTTTAATATTATTTTTACATGTTTTAGCTGGCAACACTCATTCGACCATGAAAGGGAGCCAGTATTTAAACGAGGCTTAATTTTCTAATTTTTAACGATACAATAGCAATGATTATTATTTTAAAAATTTTGTTAGGCTTAACATCAATGAAAATTAAACGCGAAGTAGATTAATAGCGATATACTAATATACTACACTAATAATGGATTTTTTCATACTTTTCGGTTATCCGACTTTTCAATTATCCGACCAACCCCAGTCCCCAATTGAGTCGGATAATCGAGGCTCTACTGTACTTTGATCGAAATCAAAGTTAGCGTTGAGTGTAAGCAAAGAAGGAAAAATAAGATAGGTAGAGTTTTGCTGTCTCCCCCACCAGATTATTTCATATTATAACATAAAATAACAATGCTGGCATCACGTTCAATCTGTAACTAATGAAGGGTTAAAAACTTGAAAATGGATCGCAAAAATTTTTAAACAATAAAATATATTTCTGGTTGAAAATTGTTACAGTAAGACCCTGTTGAACGCTGCCTTGATTAATGTTGATTCGATATAATGCGGTATGTTTGAAGCCTAAAGAAAAGCTCAAAATTTATGCTGATTAAATTATCGTGGCATTTCATTGATTTGTATATAATACGATTATTCCCAAACACGAACCAATCAGCAAAAGGTGGCAATTTGTTGTAGTGCTGTAATTTCCTTAAATCTATGTTTGTTTGGTGCAATATTGAAAAAAATATATATAACATCATGGATACCAATAGGCAATATCGACTTTGCTTGGCAAAAATTAATTGATGAATGGAGTATGGAAGAAGATATGGCCAGAGATATCTGAAAATTCTCTCATTAACCAGATTGTCAAGTTAATCGACACAGCAAGACTAGGAGATGTAGACGAGCAGGATATTGAGGAATTACTGCAGGTTTCTGGTGAGAACCTTACCAACGATGACCTTCGAGAACTGGCAGAACAAGGAATTCATGTAGAACTGGAAAATAGGGATTCTGAAAACAAAGAACCCAAAGAATTTCTCTACAGATTTCCTTAGTAAAAGTTTGGTAAGATAACCATAATCGTTGATCAAATTGTAGCGAATGATGCAGGTTTTGAAAGGTGTGCAAAAGCAATATGAGGCACTTTGGATGCAATCTCTTGCTATCGACATTTGCTTAAGGAAAGAAAAAGAAAGTGACAATTGGAACAACGAGAATTTCAGAAGATCCAAAGCCTTCATAAAAAATATTTCTGTGTGCATATGTTTGTATGTTATTTAACATATTTTTATATTAATATGCATAATAATATAAAAATAACTTAAAATTAAAGGAAAATTTGTTTATTTTTGGTTGCATGTTCCTGTTTTCCTATTTATTCTGTGTTAAAATGATCTCATTTAACACTGTTTCATTTAATGCTTTGTCATCTAGGAATTCATCCCCACATTAAACAGGGTCTTAACGCATCCCCACATTAAACAGGGTCTTACTGTATATGAATGCATGAATATTTTATTTTCTGTGTATTTTTTCTTTTGACTTACACACTTCCTTTAACACTTTTCCAGCTGTAAAAAACAAAACATTTCTTGCACTCCAAAATTCTACTTTTGCTTAGAATTCCAAAATTGTAGTTAATATTTTTTTGCCTCTATTCAGGGCCCACTTCTGGCTTACATTCACAGAAAGAAAAAACTAAAGCAAACTGATTATTATATATATTCTATTTCTAGAATGTTTTTAAATACAGGGTTCCTATGGACCTGGAAAGTCAGGAAAAGTTGGAGATTGTCATCATTGTTCAGGAAAAGTCGGGGAATACGCTTCCTTGGCTGCATTGTTGATTTTTTTGCTGACAATCATTTTTCATTAATAATTTTGATTGCTTTGACAAAATAATTAATGATCTTTTTTTCAGTTTGTTAATATTTTATAAACTTTGGGAAATTTATTAAGGAACAAATTTAATAAATTTGTACTTGGGTTATATAGAATTTGTTAATAATAAATAAATGGTTTTTTTAATCCATTTAATCCATTACAATCTTTACAATCCTACAATCCATGTAATCATGTGGGTGATTTGCCAAGGTGGAAATCCCTTTCAGCAGGATTTTCTATAGGAAACTGACCTCTATTCTATTTAGACACTTGAAGAAAACCAAAAAACTCCATATTGGTGAGATGCAAACTTACAATCAACTATCAGTATTTAGTTGTTTTATCCAATGGTGAGCCTGTGTATGTGGAGAAATATGAAAATAAGTATGCAATAGTTATTATTACTCCAACAGTTTTAAGTGTACATTTTAAGAGCTTTGTAATGTTAAAATTTTGCCTACTACATACACAAACATGGTCACAGACATAGACACGCAAACATACATATATACTCAAAAAATTGTCATATGTATCTATTTGAGTGAATTTTATATTTTTAATTGTTTGCAGTCCTTGATTCTTATTCTGCTTTATTGGAGAATTTTATATCACTTTTATCACATCACAAAGCTTTTATGACAATACAAAGAATTTTTATATTTCATTTTTTCACATTTATATTTTTTACATTTCGTGTTTGGATATATCCAGATGTAGTAGGGAAATTTGAAGTTTAGTTAGTTTCCAAAGATCTTACAACATGATTTTCAAGGATTTCAATAATATTTCTTGTATGGATAAATCTTGATATGAATTTTTATTAGACAAAGGAATAAAGTGCACTTCTCAAGTATTTAAAAAAACTGAAGTTAAAAAAATCACAGATGACTTATGAGTATTAAAACAACCACTTCACACCTAAGCGATAATTCCAGCAAATGAATAACAAAAAAAATTTTAATGTTCAAATGTTTTTGGCCGTCTTTCAGAGGCCCTCGTCAGGAAAAATTGCATAGAATAGAAAAACAGTTTTATCTTTTTAATTAATTAATTAAATTAACAGTTTTCGAACATAGCTGTGTACTAATTTTTAACATTTAAACGATGTTGAATACAAAGATCGTTATGTATTACAACATATAATTAAAATATTTATAAATAAAGTTATAAATAAATACAATAATAATATATATGGTGTTAATATATAAAATAATATATATGGTGGTAATAATATATTCATTGTTAAAAGTTAGCCCGATGNAGGCTGTGTTTAATCATTTCAAAAAAGTTTTTAGCCTCAGCAACTTTATCATTATTAACTTGGAATATAATTTAAGATATAATAATAATAATAATTACATTTCTATGTCTGTATGTATATATATATATTGTATATAAACAAACAATATATTGCACAATTATTAATACACATAAGTGGAATATTTGTATACACATTATAAATTAAAACATTCACTAAAGAAGTATCCTAATGATTTACAACCAAGTTTTAACGAATTATAACATATTTTACAAATATTTGTGCATAAATTTTTAATATGTATTGGCATAAGGCTTTGTTAATGCACCATTTAAAATTCATTCAAATTCATTTGATCAAGTAAACTTGAATTTTTTAAATCATATCTATATGATTTTTTCCCACATTAAATTCATCACATTTCATTTATAGATATATATTTACATGCAAAATTTTTACATCAATGTATATTAATGTTCAGATAATTTTAGAGGCATTAAAAATAAAATCAAAATTCTACAAGTTTAAAAATGTCATTAATCCTGGATAAAACAATTTGTGAAACACAACAGTATAACATTTATATTTCTGTAATTTTGTTAACTTTGACTGTTTCTACTATATTATATTATTAAATTACTTTTTATTGAATTCTATTAATATCCAGCAAATATACATAAAGCTCACCACATTTATTGTATTCACTTTTGACTAATTTCAGGTTATAAATTACTATTTAGTATTAATAGAATATTGAAAAATGTTTATTATTCAAGTTGCTTAATTTTACAATGCAAAATAATTTTCTGCTTTCATCACCATAATTTTTAAATAAAGTTAATATTATAAATATTATATATTTGTTGCAAGCATGATGCAAATTGATCCATCTATACTTTACTGTGCTTTTCAAATGTCTTTTTTCAAACTAATTTCTAAAATTACCCTTTTATTTGTAAAATATTTTTCATATTAAGTGAATACTTTCCTGAATTATAAACAAACCATTTGCATTCAAAAGACAAGATTCTTTAAGAACTTTCTAAAATTCAAGCCAAAGAAATTTTTCTGAAGCTTAAACTACATTTAACACTGTTTTCACAATAGTCATTTTAAATATTTATATATGTAATTATGTAAATTTTTGTTTATCTGTAAAGACAAAAGAGATAAATGTACTTTCAATTTTGGATAACAACATTACTAAGGAAAAGATCTAAAACCATTCTGTAACATGATATTCATGAAGTTACATTCAATACAATGGCATATATATATATATATGTGTATATATATATATATATGTGTGTATATATAGTTTTTTTTGAGTCAATCATTTCATCAAATTAATTTGTTACAGTATGATTTTAGAGATAGTTACAAACCACCACATACAATGAATACTGTGCGCCGTTATTGCCCTCTTCTGACTTACACCAATGCTAAATAACTGTATTAATAATCTAAAATACTATACATTGATTGTAATAACTTTGAATTTTAACAAGAACACCATAACACAGAATAAACATCAGAGAAGGCATAGAATGATATAGAAGAGAGAGACTGAGCACACTAGTGCAAAGCCAGGTTGTACAATATGTATATTCAGCAGATTAATAACTGCTTGACAATAAATAATATTGCCACAATATGCAGTTATATAAATATATGTCTCTCTATTGAAATTAAATGGATAAAAAGAAGCAAACAAAAATGCAAATGACAGCACATCACATAAGCAAACATTGCAGAGTAGAGAGAAGAATTTCTGAACTCTACAAGGTTTTTGTTTGTTGTCATATTAATCCTTGAGCAGTTTGGTCGCTCTTTGGTTTGCTATTGTGACACGTGATTCATTTGATTTGGCCTGAAAGAAAGACAGACAATTAAAAATGCAATACATTATTATAATTGAAAAAATTAAAATATATATATATAAATAATTAAAAGACAATTATAACAATGAAAATTAAGTATAAGTTATATTAGTTTGAAATACACTACATAATACTCATAACTTACAGAAATAGTTTCTGGAAATAAATTATTTCAGAGAATAGAGTATGGAGATTCGTAATTAATGATTTTTAATGTACTTTACTAAGTAATTTCAAAACTGATGCTGATGATAATTCAAACTGAATATCTGGAGTTTTGTAAAATACAAATTTCATCAAAAATTATTTTTAAAAATAGTATTATCAATACTTGGCATAAGCAAGATCAGAACTTCTTAAAATGGTGAAAATAAAAAAACTATTTTTGAATTTATAAAATTTGTCTACTATCTGATTATGATGTAATTCTAATTTTGATTTTTAAAATTTGTTTGAAAGTATATAACCTCTTAATCCATTGTATTGAAAAAAACGTACATTACAGCTTTAACAATATTTACCTGTCTATATGCATCTAGTATAAACATTTTTGACATTTAATTATTATTTTGAAATAAAATAAAATTAAAAAAAGATAATATATTCAATGATTGTATGAGATGATTTTATCACACACAAAATAAAATTGTATTTGAATATATTTTAAAATATTTGTTTCTAATGTTGTTCTTGTTTTGGTTTTTATAGGATTTTGGTATTCTTTATCTAGCAGTTGATATTCTCAATTTCCCATAATGAATTAAATACAACACTTGTCCTTGATATTCACTTCTTCAATATTTGCAGTTATTCCAATTCAACTCATTGCAAACATAAATTTATTCTTATGAGTTGATTTGAATTGGGTTATAGAATGTAGGTTTATATTCACAAATCTTATGGAATAAATAGAATATATATAAAAGAATTTATAAAAATATTTATTTTATTCAAAAACTAACCTTTTGATTAATCCTATCGAGTTGACGATTTTGAGATTCAATTTCACTTCCCATGTCAATAGCCATGTTGCGAAGATTGCCAACCATTGTACTCACTTGCTGCATGTTTTCTTCCATTTCTTCTTCACGAGCATCATTTGTGACCCTGTAATTTGTATTATATAAATATAACATTTCATAACTTATTTATTTTAAATATATTAGACCAGTGGTGTGCACCATTAAAGATTTGGAAGCTATATCTTCACCCTGATGATGATGCATGTGTACTGATTATTGATTTGATACTCTTATTAATATTACTTATCTGTAGTCTGCAAATCTATCAGGAAAAGAATTCTGGCAATATCATAATTTTTACTAACTCTACTGAGTAACTTGGTATCCAGCACCTTTCCAAAAATTTCACGAAATATCTAAATTTAAAAGTTTTTTCTGGAGCCTTGATCTCTGAACATAGTTTTCCTGGAGGCAACCACCCCAGACCCACTGCAGCTTCAACTATTTTTATTTCTTGGTCCTCTAATCTTTGCCCTCACAAAAAATGATGCTACACCACTGTACCAGATAACCAATCAAAAGAAATCACCAGATGCAGCACAAGAAGTTTGGAAATGTTGAAAGTTAACAGTATGTGACTCATTATACATTGTTGACTCTCAAGTGAAATTTATTTTTGTGATTTAACATTCATCATACTACACGTAACTACTTGCAGTGTAAATTAAATATTGCATAACTGGAAAGGCTTTACACTACAGAACCAAGAATCTTCATAGCAGAAAACTACATAAAAAAAGAAAACTGACCAAAAATTAAGATAGCAATTTATGTGGAAATATTCTAAATTATTTGTGCCTACAAAACAGGGCTGTGGAGTCAGAAAAAATGTGTTGACTCCAACTCCCACATTTTAAATTTACTTTAGTTTTTTTTATTTAAATGAAAGAAAATTTATTACATATTTATTAATTTTTTAAAATGTTTTTGTATTTTGTTATAATTCATTTATTTTAAATACAAAATGCATCAATTTAATTTATTAAATATGTAGTATTCTTTGTAGTATTTATGTTTAGTAGTAAAATTATTTTGACCCAATTGAATTTGAATATTTTTGAATCAATCCTTTATTATCCATGCTCTAAATAAGTACTCTATTTTTCTGAATAAGACAGACTAATTGATCAGAGTACATATTTTTCTTTTCTGAACAAGGGGCTGAAGTAGCTAGCTAGATCACACACTTTTTAGTTGACTAACTCTTCTGGAAGGGTGAAATTGAAGTGCAAATGCTGTCGAATGTATGTAGATATAGAATTTTATTGCTCCTTTCTCCTCTTATTAAATATTTGTTAAAAATTAATTTTTTATACAAATAAATATTAGTATTTTTAATACAGTGGTACCTCGGTATACGTCTGCTTTAGAATACGTCCAATTTGGAATATGTCCTGTTTGGACAAAACAAATTTTGCTCAGTATACGACTTTTGTTCGGTATATGACTTAATTCAATTATATGCGCCATCTATGAACAAGTAGCACTATTGGTGTATTAGACCAGACTAGATGTTCGTGGTGCCACAGTTTATAACTTTGTTAAATTTCTTTTTATTTTAATTTGTAAGTAAAATGTTGTTATTTTTATTAATCATGAATTGCAAAAAGGCAACAGAAAAATAAAAAAATGACTAAAATCACAATGGAACTGAAAAAAGAGATTGTTGAGAAATGTGAAGGTAGCATGCTTGTTCGAGATTTAACTGTTGCATACCGTATTCAGAGAACAACGATATCAACAATCATGAAAATTAGACATTATTAAATTTGCTAACATTGCAAAAGGGGTTAAATCAATTTCTAAACACAGATCGAAGACATTAGATCATGTCGAGAAATTGCTTTTGTTTTGGATAACTGAAAACCAGTGCTGGAGACAGCGTATCAGAAACAATTTGCGAGAAAGCTAAAAAGATACATGCTGATCTCATGAAAAATCAAGCAGGAACTAGACAGGAAAGCGAGGTGTTTAAAGCCAGCCATTTTTTTACACGAGAACGGATTAATCATTTTTACATTACTTCTTATGGAAAAGGTTGGTTTGGTATACGTCCAATTCGGTATACAGTAAGTCCAAACATCGGGAACGGATTAAGGTCGTATACTAAGGTTCCACTGTATTTAACTTACATTAAATATAAAGTATTTGGGTAAACTCCCAGGCTCCTTTCAGAGTTTAGAGTAGGGTATCCCTTAGTGCCTCTGTCCCCCCGATAAAATGACTTGTTATTTAATTTTGCTGGAGTCAGCCTACTAAAATTATCAGGAGTTGGAATCGGAGTCAAGTGTTTTTTTACCGACTCCGCAACCCTGCTACAAAGGTTTATGTTCATGTGTAAGGTTCTTAATAAATAAACTTTCTATTGATGATAATCTGTCCAGAGTAATTTTTAATGCAATAAAAGGGAATTGTTATGAATGAAAAGTTTTCTGAAGAAAAATGTCAAGACATTTTTGGTCTGTTTACAAACAAATCCAATAAAATTTTTCAGGGATATTTAGAAGTGAATCCAACAAGCATCTCAAGAGACTATTATCTTATGATTGTATTCACAGATTAAAAAGAAATTTTAGATTATAAAGAGTTGTCCATGAACATTTTATATATTTATTTATTTACAACTTGAAATATTATCCTTTGAGTCTGTAGTAGGTTGTGTAGATAAATAGGCAAAGCCAAAATTTTGCACATTAACCTAAAAAATCCATTGTGTATCTCACAAGAAATTACTTCACAAGTCTGATCTTTTTGAGGAAAGATAATAGACCTGTAAAGAAAAACTAGGAGACATCACTAGGACTCAAGAAGGAAGAACCCAGATGAACAAGTCTGTTCAAGCTGAGCTCTGCACTTTTGCAAATGATGTTCAGAGAAGTCTTCACAGTAGAGCTGCAAAAAATGGTAAAAGGCTGAGGAAGAAAGTTTCACAACCATTTGTGCCAAGTGAAAGTAACTAAAACCTTGTTGTAACAATGTTAACAAAAACAAAACAAACATGATTGCTAAAAGATTGCTCTCTGCAAACTGTGGAATTTCTATCTAGGCAAAAATTTATTATTTTGTCTTAGTCCAGGGGTTGTTGTCCTTTGATTTAATGACTGAAAGTAGTCCAGTCTTTGACAGCTCTAGAAAGTACTGGAAGAGATAGTGAAAGCCAATTTGGACAAAGAGGTATGAAGCTACCTTCTTGGCCAGTAGATCAGCACTTAGTTTGCTTATTTCCTCATATGTCCTTGACACCTACAAAATAAAAACTATTGCAGGCAGTCAGTTCACTGAGAAGCAAATAGCACTCCTAGGCAAGTGCTGAAGTGAACTGATAAGGCCACGTTCCTTCAAGGTAACCTGACTATCAGAAACAATATAGATAGCCTTATTAAGAGAATGTCTATGTAAAATAAAGCAAATATTCCAAATAACAGCTAGCAACTCAGCTTGAAACACAGTAGGAAATTTACATAGAGAGATAAAAAAAACCCTTTTGTAAACACACATCAAAATGCCAGTCCCAGGCAACTACTGGTTTTAGATCAATCTGTAAATAAGACTAAATCCTGTAAGTGAAGAGAGATCCTATCCCTATGGCAATCAAGGCAACTTTGGAGTCTGTAGTAAATAAATATCAAGATATAAGTATTTCTCATTGTGAATAGCAAGGCTATGACAAACACAACTACTAATAGTGTCTCTGACTTGTAATGTTACCAAACTCCTTATGCTACTTCTTGCAAGTTTCTTTTTTATTTGATCACCTGGTATTTGAATGTTTATTATTAGAGTAAATTCAATATACTTGGCGATATATCCTCCCATAGGTCCAGCACCATTCCTATCATCCATTACTCGCGCAGGTTGACTGTTGACAACTTTTCCATCGTCTGTAGCTTTCCAGGTACTTGCATCTTCTTTAAATTCTTGAGACCTATGTTAAAAATGTATAAATTAATATTAAAGGACCAGCATTTTCATGATTTTAAACACAGTCATGATAAGGTAAACTCATTTGTTTCAAAGAAAAAGTTCATTTTACCAAATAATTCATCTTTGTGGAAAGGCACTGACCAGATAGTCTTTTCTTTGTTCATTGTGACAATGAACAAAGAAATAATGCTCAAGGAGTCATAATAGTATAATGCATTTATTAAAATTATATATATATATATATATATATAGCTAAAATTAGCCCAAATATAATCAGTCACTTTTATAACCACTTAAAAGGAGTTTTTTGGATGAATAAACCAAAATGTTATGTCCTTCAAATCCAATGCACTCATCTGAGTTCATGAATTACTCAGAAGGTGATTAATTCTCATATTTTATTTAAATGCATTTCAGATCAGAATTCTCATTGATTCCTTTTCAGTCTATAAACAAAACTGTAAAATTACAAAATGATTTTATTGTTTATAGACTGAAAAGGGATCAGTGAGAATTCCGATCTGAAATGCATTTAAACAAAATATCTGAGAATTAATGGTCTTCTGGGTAATTCTTGAATGTGAGTGAGCATTGGATTTGAAGGACATAACATTTTAGTTAAAAGGTGTTTTTTGGACGAATAAAGTGTTTATAAAAGTGATTTATTAAAACATAATAGTATAGCATATATATATGCACTATACTATTATGATTTATATGTATATATAAAATTACCAAATGAATTGTAAATTTTGAAGTTTCTCCTGATAGGAAATGTTCCACTGATATGATGGAGCAGGATCCCACTTGGAAGATACGAAACCAATAAAAGACACAGTAAAAATGAATCATAACACTGAACCACGGTAGATTATAATTCCTAAATGTCTTTCAGTCCTTTTTCCTTTATCTCCCCCTTTTTTGTTTTTTCTTTTCTTTGGTCAAGTCCTGTTAAGAGGTGTACAGTTTGTTCTCAGTAGCCTGTGTTGTGAGAGTGCATATTCACAGGTGGCAACACTGAGAAAACAGGATGCAGGGAGAATTTCAGTTGTCATAACGACATGTGAGTAAATGACAGATAATTAGATCATACTCTTCAACAAAAATGTTGATTGGCTGTTGAATTATGACAGTGCCTGTCTGAACTTCAACTAATGGCACAATATTTGCACTAGTTTTGTGCAAAATAAAATAGTGTGACTGATGAAGTAATAAATTTATACGATAAAAAAAACATATGTTTTTATACATAATCAATATTTAATTTTGTGTATAAAGTTCTCCTCCATGCCACAGAGCATTTTTACTGGACTGTATCAAATCAAAATATTTAATAAATGAAAAGTAAAAAAATTGGGATATAAATAATTTCAAGTACTTGTAGTATACAATAAATATCAGAAAAGAAATAAGAATATAAGATTTTATTTATAATGAAAAAAAAAAAACTTTTTATATTTTTATAATACTGTATATTACGGGTATAATATACTATAAAATTTTTCTTTTCATTTTTATATTAAACCAGCAGATGACTCCACCGTTACCTGTCAAAAAACAATAACAAAGATTAAGATTATTAGATTATTTCGTTCTTCTAATCCTATTTTAGTATCCCGTGACGCTCCCTAGTGGACGTTATAGCAGCAGCAGTGTCATTCCATGGTATAAATAATAAATTCTTATTATAAATAAAAATAATTGGGGACTGGGGTGGTTCGGATAACTTATTTTTTTTGTCATATTCAATTTTCTCACCCCAAAATTAGTAAGATTTCACTCATGAAATAAAGGAAACATTCAAAANTTTTAGTTTTAATAATTTGGAAATTATAAAAAAATATATAACTGTTAATTAGAAAAAAATAACTAATTAAAAGGTTGAAGAAGCAATAGCATATGTGCATAATTGACAAAATAAATCAATATTTGACTAATGTGCCATACTATAAGGGATGTGAGGATCAGGAAAAATCATGGAATTTAAAACAAAAATTTAGGTAGGAACCCTGTAAATATGATGTTGTGTGTCACTTCTTTAATGAACTTCCAAACAGAGCCAAAAACGTTGCTTAGACTAGAATTTTGAAGTGCAAGAAATGTTTTTTTACTGCTGGAAAAGTGTACAAGGTGTAACTCAATAATTCCAGTTTGAGTAGAACTTAGTAATTTTTTGTTTTTTAGTTCATTTCAACAAATAATTGCAAATATTGTCTATGTTGAAACTTGGTTAAAAAATACATTTACATTTTATTGTAGTAACCATTTTCTTGTTTTGGCAAAGACAATGTTTATAGTGGCTTGTGCAATTCCTGCTTTCACAGATTTTACTGTATTTTGTCAAGTTAACTTCTAGCTATAAATTAAAGATACTATGTTCAATCATCTAAAATTGAATATCATTGTTCAAATATTCTTAACAATTGATAAACAATAGTTACTTTGTAATCAGTGTAAGTTATAAAGTAAATATTCTACATTTGTAGTATTGAAGATTGTTAGTTTTTGTAAATTTCAAAGAGTTATTAAATGTTAAGATATAATAATAACAGTATACACTATTAAGTTTCATATACTTTATACTGTATTATCAAAGAAATGTTTCAAAAGACAGTATTAGATGGTTTAAGATATTCAAAAACATTGATGAATCTTTATATATTCATTTCAAAAATTTTGAATATTTTCAATATCTAACATTTTTAGTAGTTATAAAAAACATTATATATGGCAACATTTCTTGTACAGTCGACCCCCCTATAAGATCATTGATTTTTCCGTTTTATCTGAATTACATGTTGTACGAGTCACTTAGATTTTACAAATATGTGAGCCGTTCACAGCCCGGCACACGTATTTGTAAAATCTAAGTGACTCGTACAACATGTAATTCAGATAAAACGGAAAAATCAATGATCTTAAAGGGGGGTCGACTGTATAATAAATGCCTTCTTAAGTAAGTTGTGTGTAAATCATTTATAAGCTTAATAATCTTACCTTTTTTTAATGCAGAATGTATTCAATATACTACTGTAATTCAATATACTACTGTAATACTGAGATAATACTACAAATAAATATTTGATAGAAAAATATTCATTTGTACATTTTTTCTTGATTTCTCTTAAATTTATGAATAAACTTTTTTGACATAATCATTAGTTTAAAAAAAAGCTTGCATTTATATGTAATAAATTATTAGTTAATTTTTGTGTGCAATATGTGCTATTTCTTATATACAATTTTTCTATTAAAAAATGTTTGTTTTTGGCATTCCATTAATTAGTATAAGTTAGGTAGAAATATAAATAAAAAATATTCTCTAATAGCCTACAATAATAATAAATTATGTCAATGATTAGGAGAATTTGAGGGAGAATATTATATAGATGCTTAACAATGTTTATAGATCATAAAACAATGATTGTTGTTGCAGAAATTTAAAATTATCATTAAGAAAAATGACCAATGGTTCAGAATGAATATCTGCATTATATTTAAAGTGAAATTTTAATATCAAACAAAATTTCACTTTACATGTTTCTGTTTTGGTCATTATTTGAGAGTAAGTTTATAAAATTTTGATGATAAGATTTTAAAATTTTAATAGATTTTTATGCATGATATTTAATAACAATAATTCAATTATATTGGGAGATTATTTATTTCACATTTGGAATTCTAGAAAACAATACAAGCATGATTGGAAGATACAATATATTAAAAAGAAATAAACTGTGAAAACTAACCACAGAAACTACATTATTTACAAATCTCTGTACATTATACAAGTTGCCAGAGCAATTCTTATATCACAATCGCACAAAATAATGCCAGTCACAATTTAAATATAATGTATAAATTAATACAAATGACATCAATAAAAAAGTTATCACAATAAAATTTTATGAATTATGCATTTCTACGAAAGAATTAATGACTAATGTCAGAAAAAAATTCTTACAAAATTGGAAAATTTTAAATAAAATTATACAAGTTTCTATGTAATTTTTGATATTTAGGTACTTGAAATGGATATATACATCCTCTAGTTTGGAACTTTTCATTAATCAAATTTTTCAGAAGAGTAATAGAGATTATGTATTCTTGTTCCTTTTTTTTGTAATTTTTTAACATAAGAGACAGGTTTCAAGATATTGTACAAAATTATTTATATATCACAGTTCTATAGGAATTTATCTAAAAACATATAAATTAAAGGGGATTAAAATCATTTCTCGTTGTAATTTATATTGCTGCTGTTGGCTCTGTGCTTTTGTTTAATAAGCATTCTCAACACTTTCTAAGTATAACTTACATTATTTGTTTTGTGCCTTAAAAATTTTAAACAATCATACTTATGGCCCCTCATAATCAATTTAAATATACAATTACATTTAAAAGCAACAAGCAAATTGGTTCTAATGATATACCATTAAGGATTGCAGGACATTTCCTGATTAAAGGCACCAACAAACAATTATTTGACTTACTTAGGCTGTGTTTAATCATTTCAAAAAAGTTTTTAGCCTCAGCAACTTTATCATTATTAACTTGGAATATAATTTAAGATATAATAATAATAATAATTACATTTCTATGTCTGTATGTATATATATATATTGTATATAAACAAACAATATATTGCACAATTATTAATACACATAAGTGGAATATTTGTATACACATTATAAATTAAAACATTCACTAAAGAAGTATCCTAATGATTTACAACCAAGTTTTAACGAATTATAACATATTTTACAAATATTTGTGCATAAATTTTTAATATGTATTGGCATAAGGCTTTGTTAATGCACCATTTAAAATTCATTCAAATTCATTTGATCAAGTAAACTTGAATTTTTTAAATCATATCTATATGATTTTTTCCCACATTAAATTCATCACATTTCATTTATAGATATATATTTACATGCAAAATTTTTACATCAATGTATATTAATGTTCAGATAATTTTAGAGGCATTAAAAATAAAAT